TCAGAAACACTCACCCCTTCCTCGAAGGCCCAGCGCTTGCTGACTTCATGCTCGTTGTGGTTAAACACCTCCTGGCGGGTCTCGGTCACCTTATGCCTCATGTTCTCGATCTCCGTCACTCTCTGGAGGGCAAGACACAGCATCCTGAGCATCGCATCGAAGGCGCAAACATTTGATCTCGTCTGATGTCCAGCTACGCAAAAGGTCTACGTCACCATGAGTTTGACAGAAACAGTACGGTTTGCACACCCAGTGAATCAGCTCTGGCCGGTGCTGGGACGGTGGCATTTCGTCACGAGCCCGTCCCACTTTTAGCCCAAGTCCCTGATTGGATGCCAACCTGGACCCTCAGGTTTTCATTGGCTGCTAACGGAAAGACACCTCTTCAAACCTGCACACGTGTCCAGGATCAGACGCCCTTACCCTACCTCTGCCATGTTTTGAAGCCCGCGGATGAAAGACGGCGCTCTTACCTTGGCAGGATCCGGCAGGTCCTCCGTCCCCGGCGGAAGCTCTTCGCCCGGCGCGTCGTCTCCGCTAGGCTTGTTCTCGTTAGCCAGCTCCACTCTCAGCTGCACGAACTCCTCCTCAGACAGGAAGTGCTTGGGGTTGTTGCTCTGGACGTGCTCTTTGAACCTGAACAGAGAGCGATGATGTTTTACAAAGGGAACTCCTGACATCAGAAGCAGATATCAAAAGTGACGCTCACTTCTGGAAATGCTGCGAGTACAGCTGGGTGGGAATGCAGAGGATGCGGTCGTAGACGGCTGTGACGTTGGCCAGCTTGCCCTGCTCCGTCTCCCAGGCGATGTAAGCCTCCCACAGACGGTCGGAGCGGAAATCCGTGCCACAGGCCAGAACTGCGTGCTCATAGGACCTGAAAGAACACAAGCAAGTCATTTAATCAGGGTGTTTGCAATTTCAATATCAAATTAAGGACTTTTAAGGACATGTGCATGTGGTTTGAATTTTATTTGTGCATGCAAAACACCTATAAAACCTAAAAAATAATCATGTATATCAGATTTTTTAACGTGTGTGTATAAAATTTAAAATACTCAACATTTTTTTTTTAATATATATTTACTAAAACTGGTATAATGTACTAATCAATCAACACATGATTGCTTCTTAATCTAACCTGCCATTGTATATTACAAATATTGTATTGTCACTTTGGATAAAAGCATCTGCTAAAAGCAGAAATGTAAAATAAATTCAAGTTATAGGTTGAATGATGTTGGATTTTGCTGATATGATAATACAAAAAGGCAACAAAAATGTATTGTAGAAATACTAGTAAAATCGACAATGCGTTTATTTATTTATTTATGATTTAATGCCATGTCAGCAGCAGTGGCTATATTCATGGCAAGAAACATTTCAATTTCACAATTCAGTCATATATATAATTTCAAAACAATTATATAACGGTTTTGTTTGAAAATTATATATATATAAATAAATAAAAGTACAAATATACAAAAACATACATATAATAAAAATAATAACAAGAACAAAAAAGTAATAAGAACAATTATATAGAGTCCTTCAGCTTAATGCATGACAAAAAAATTTTAATCGTTCCAGGAGAATTCATACTTAATGTGTTAAATTAAAATTTTTGCCAATCCTTCTTGTGACATTGAATTAAATGCTGGATAGCTTGTGTAACCAAAATAGCAATACTAACCAGAAAACAAACAGATTTTTTAAGCATGATTGAGGACTTCTAATTATTAACATGCCAGAAATGCACCATGACTCTTATTTTGAAATGGCTTTGTTTTACTACTTCCAGCTGCTCAACATGAGGAAGATAAAATATGCATCTCACAACTATTACAACAATGTCATAATTCATCAACAGTTGATCATAAGCAACCTATTGGCATAAACGTGCGGTATTCATTGATTGTAAACTGAAACCACAAGCCTGTAGAACGTGCAACAGCGCAGTGTTTCGACTAGGGCTGGACGATATGGCCAAAATTGATATCACGATATATTTCTTAATTTCGGTCGATACGATATAATTCCGATATCGATATGAACACTATTTATCTGAAATAGAAATCTTTTGTAACATTATAAATGCCTTTATCATCACTTTTGATCAATTTTAAGCATCCTTGCTAAATAAAAGTATTAACTTCTATAATTTCTTTCCCAAAAAAAAAAAAAAAAATTATACTGAATGGAAGTGTATAATGTTACAAAAGCTTTTCATTTCAGATAAATGCTGATCTTTGGATCCTTCTATTCATCAAAGAATCCTGAAAAAAAATGTACTCAACTGTTTTAAATACTGATAATCAGCAAATCAGCATATTAGAATGATTTCTGAAGGATCATGTGACACTGAAGACTGGAGTAATGATGCTGAAAATTTACCTATGTATGATCACAGGAATAAATTACATTTTAAAATCTATTCAAATAGAAAGCAATTTTAAATAGTAAAAATATTTCAACATTTTACTGTTTTTGCTGTACTTTGGATCAAATAAATGCAGCCTTGGTGAGCAGAAGAAAATTCTTAAAAAAAAAAATATAAAACACCCGTGCCGTGTTATGATTTTGAAACGTGCAGTGCTCATGTTTATTCAACGAAGTCAAACGGCACAAATAAATCAATGTATGGGAAACTGGTAATGTATATCGAAATATCGGAAATGTGTTTAAAAATCATATCACCGTTATTGAAAAAATTTATATCGCGATACATATTGATATTGAATTATTGTCCAGCCCTAGTTTCGATTAAAGCAAGAAGCTGTGGTTTACAGTGAATTTATAACAGCTAAGGGCCGTTGTTAGACACGATGAGAAGCCCCCCTTAGCTGTTATAAATTAACTGTAAACCACGGCTTCACGGGGCTTATTGCTTTTATAAAACGGTTATTCCATATACGTAGTAAGGTTTCACAGAATAAAACAGAGCAAATAAAGTGTAATGATATTAATAAAAACAGTATTCTTCCACCAAACAATGTAGCTCCTCAGAATCAGTTGTGGTTGCTACAAAGTGGTTGCCGAGCAACAGACAAACGTAAACAAAGGTGTATGTTTGTAGAGTAATTTACAACAGCTTCGAACGCAGCTCAGCCAATCAGAATCAAGCACCGGAACTCTCCGTTTTATAATATTCAATCGTCATGTTTTTGAGGTTGTTAAAAGCTGCACTTACGCTCTGATGCGGTTTTCTGCCTCGCCGTCACTGGTGTCTTGGTTCTCTCGCAGGAAAGCGATATAATGAAGCCACAGGTCGACGCTGAGCGGAATGGCCTGCAGACCTCTGCGGTAAACCTGCGTCAGGGAAAAAAAAAAAAAAAAGATTGTGTGATGCTTTTTAACAAAGCTTGCTGAGAAGAGAACTTTAAAGTGTGAATCTCATGAAAACATGTCAGATTTCACCTCCAAAAATAAACTTTTTCTCTTGACTCTGCCTATTTTAATGCATGTTCTGGTGACAACAGAAATGTACGATTCTCACGAATCCTGCGCCTTGCTCAGTCCTGAAGTCATTCAGACTCACCTCATCAGCCATGTGTATGTAGCCGTGTTTCTTCTCGATATCAGCATACTTCTTCCAGTAGCCGTAACAGTAGGGGTAGTGCAGGAAAAAGGCATCAAACGCCTTCCTTGAAGCCTCCAGGTGGCTCTGAACCAAAAGAAACGCTCATAAGCCACTGATGAACGTCTGCACTGCATGTGACACTATTAAAGGCACTCACCTCCTGTTCAACATACTGCAGGAGGTAGACCCAGCCGTTGAAGTCTTCAGGATTGTCCTCCACAACTTTAAAGAGCCGCTCGTAATCTGCAGGGAGCGCGGGATCTTGTGCGGGATCTGCGTCTGTCGCTGGTTCCACCGCTTCTGGTGTTTCTTTAGGGGCGTCCTCCAGCTCCATATTGGAAGGGCTCTCCGAGTCCTGATTCGCCGCGTCCGGCTCCATGTGCTGTCCGTTTGACTCCGGCTGCTGCCCGAGGCTCTCCGCACTGGGCCCTGAAGGACTGGCTGTGGTGTCGTCGTTCTCCGCTGCAGACTGGAGTTGCTCCGTCGAGTACAGCTGGTACTGCTCCGATGCAGACGCCTGCTGGATCTGCTCGCACTCGTGGCTTTCCGGATTCGGCAGAGGAGGAGCCTGTGCCACCGTCGGCTCCGTGACATCATCGACCCCTGCGACCTCCATAGCAGGAGCGTCCCCGTTATCAGGGGCATTCGTGTCCAGCATCCCCGTCATGGGCTCACCTGAAACAATCACATCAAATGCACAGGTAAGTCTGAAGACAACATAATCGTCTCATAGTTCTGCTGGCGATGTAAAATGTGACCCTGGAGCACAAATCCAGTCATAAGGGTCAATTTTCCAAAATTGAGATTTATGCATCAGCTGAATAAATAAGCTTTCCATTGATGTGTGGTTTGTTAGGATATGACAATATTTGAAAATCTGGAATCTGAGGGTGCAAAAAAATCTAAATATTGAGAAAATCATCTTTAAAGTTGTCCAAATGAAGTTCTTAGCAATGCATATTACTAATCAAACATTAAGTTTTGATATATTTACGGTAGGAGATTTACAAAATATCTTCATGGAACATGATCTTTACTTAATATCCTAATGATTTTTGGCATAAAAGAGAAATCTATAATTTTGACCCATACTATGTATTGTTGGCTATTGCTACAAATATACCCCAGCGACTTAAGACTAAATCAAAAAGAATAAATTGCAAGGAACGCCACACTTCAATATGTTCATCAAACGCAAGCAACACTTCAAAGCATGACAACCTCCATCACTTTTTAATTAATTTTACAAAAATACAGATACTTTTAGTTAAGAAGCAAAACGGCCGAAGATGAGAAGTCCTGTCTTCTGAGACACTGATCAAAATGAAGCGATTAAAACAAGTCCACATATCTTAATTCAAAGGGAACACAGATTTGCATTCCTCACTGATGGCTATTTGTTTGTTTTGATCATAAAATCACTTCATATTGTTCAGTCTATCAGAAAACAAGACTTGCATCTCCGGTAAATGTACACTGCTGTTCAAAAGTTTGGGATCAGTAAGATTTTTAATGCTTTTTTAAATTAGTCTTTTCTGCTCATCAAGGCTGCATTTATTTAATCAAAAATACAGAAAAAATTTGTTAATATTGTAAAATATTTTTACCATTTAAAATACTGGTTCTCTATTTTAATATACTTTAAAATGTAATGTATTTCTGTGATGCGCAGCTGTATTTTCAGCATCATTACTCCAGTCTTCAGTGTCACATGATCTTCAGAAATCATTCTAATATGCTGATTTATTATCAGTGCTGGAAACTGTTGCTTCTTCATATTTTTTTGGACCGTGTGATACCTTTTTCGGGATTCTCTGATGAATAAAAAGTTAAAAAGAACAGCATTTATTCAAATGTAAAAATATTTTGTAACAATATAAGTCTTTACTGTCACTTTATATCAATTTAACACATCTTTGCCGGATAAAAGTATTAATTTCAAAAATAGAAAAAAAATTATTTCTAACATCAATAATAAATCAGCATATTAGAACGATTTCTGAAGATCATGTGACACTGAAGACTGGAGTAATGATGCTGAAAATACAGCTGCGCATCACAGAAATACATTACAGTTTAACAGATATTCACAGAAAACAGCTGTTTTACATTATAATAATATTTCACAATTTTACTGTTTTTTCTGTATTTCTGATCAAATAAATGCAGCCTTGATGAGCAGAAAAAACACTTAAAAAAAAAACTAGCACACAAACTTTTGAACAGCAGTGTGTCTTGATTTCACGATGTTTAGATATTTGTTCTGGAAACCAAGACAAAAATACTGAGGAAGATAATATGCATTTTCTGCAGTGCATGCAACATTTAATGCCATAACTTTACGAATTTAATGAATTGAAGACCTTGATTTGCGGAAGGCCTCTTTAAACACCGTAAAGCTGCTTTGACACAATCAGTATTATATAAAGTGCTATACAAATAAAGGTCACTTGACAAACAAAAAGTTGTGAAATAGACTCCACAAAAATATCCCAGTCGTTTTGCAAATGCATAGGATTACGCCTAATTTGCGTAACGTTATATATTTTAAGCTTTGCACTGCTAAAGATAATTATGCGTTTCAGTCTGCGTAAACAAGTCTTTATTGGACTCAGAAATGCTTTCGAGAGGACCACGGAACACAGACACAACCGGAGGAGTAACGAAGCACTTATCTGCGGTTAGATGAACTGTTTGTGTCGCGTTTCCTGGTCAAACGGCACACGATAAATCGTCGAATTAACGTTAGTTTGTGAATGTACGCGAGTAACCGATCAAAACACGCTTTCGGTGGCATTTCAAGGGCGAATTCGTTTCAAAACCAGCACAACGGGTTATTAAAGTATGAAAACGGTCTGGTTTCGGCCTGGTCTCTTCACGCGCTAGCTAAACTGCTAACTAACCGACGCCGCTCATTTACCTCAGAAACAAACGCACGGGAATCGCGGGAAATCTACGGCGGGAAGGATACTTACCAGAATCTTCCATGAAACTGGGTTTAAACGGCAGATATTTTCACAACTTCTTCGAAGTTTTCTGCGGTTATTGATAACATGTGGTCGAACGGCCGCGCTCTGTCGCATTCAACACCCGTTGCGTCGAGCGCCGAGAGAAGGACACGAATGTTTGCGCATGCGCACCGCGCTACGAAACCAAAGACACTCGTGACCACTGTTGCCAACTCTCGCGAGACAAATAAGCAACCGCAGCTTCAAAAACAAGCCCAATATTTTTTTATCTTATCTTAGTATTAGTATAGTAGTATAGGCCTACTTGTTTTTTTTTGTTTTTTTATTACAGCCCGTGATAATTAATACATTACAAAAACATTGTAAAAATTAAAAATTAGGCTACCTTGGAAAAAAGGCATCCCACTCCTCTACGATTGGCTATTAACTGCCAGCAGACAGAGTGTCAATCAATACATATATACAGTAAACATAAATGAAAAGAAACGAAGTTGCTTGTAAGGTTTTCCTAACAAGCAACCATATATTTTTTTTAAATAAGCCCAAAAAACCGCAACCCGGGATTTTTTTCACGCAACTGTACAAAAAAATAATCCCAAAGTCGGGTATAATACGCGGACTTGGCAACTCTGCTCGTGACGTCATTCCCCTGTTACCGATAGGGGGCGTAACGCGGCCCACAAAAATCAAACGGGTCAGAATGGAATAAAATGAAATTTATTCGAAATATCTGACGACGAAGCCACGCGAATTATAATAAAAAAGGTAATTACAACTTTTTATCTTACAATTCGGACTTTTCCACACAATTTTGTCTTTTCTTCTCGCAATTCTGAACTTTTTTTTTTTTTGCGTTCCAGTCCGTTTTTTTATTTTATTTATTAAACATAGAATACAAGAACTCATAGAGGTTACAGCATAGAATAAAACCAAATACAATAACAATCAGCATCAAACCTTAAGGGGATCCACAATACATGTCAGGCAAAAAAATAAAAATAATAAAAAAAATTAAAACACAAGAAACTTGGACATGTCCGATGATATTTTCGGGGCACGACAATTTTTCGCAATTCTGAACTGCCAGATATGAAATCAGAATTGCAAGATATAAACTATAAGCTCACAATTCTGAGAAGAAAAATAGAAATTGTGACATATAAACTCGCAATTGCGAGAAAAAATTCTGAATTGTAAGATTAAAAAGTCGCTATTTTTAATCTTCATTTTTGATTAGGCTACGTGGGAGAAAAAAACATTCAGAATTGCGAGGAAAAAAAAGTCAAAATTGTGAGGTAAAAGGTCACAATTTTTTTTATTATTATTTTTATTATTATTATTATTATTCTCATAGCAGAAACAGGCTTCCTTAAATTACAGTACTTCATTACTATAAAAAAATAATCTTCCCAGTATATGTATCACTGTATGTAAACTAATTATGTAACAATATAGTCAACCCACGCTGAATAATTCAAATTCAAGTTTTCAAAAGGCTGTTTGGAAATGCATTTTGGGTTTTTCAAATACCCAAAATGCTTTCGATGTAAAATCGAGTTCAGGGTTTATGTAATAAAGGAACAACAGTAAAGGCAAAGTTGTCTTTGACGTGAAGTCTTTCAAAATAAAACAAACATCAGCCTCCTCAATGCCTGGTCGATTTATTTGCTACACATGGAAGTCACTTCTTCTGAAAAAAATGCAAATATGCTTGTATTTATAGCCAGGTCTGTCTGGTGTTTCATTTCAACCAGGCATTTTTTTAACTCGATGTGACGTCATGAGCTCCGCCCCTTCAACGTCAAATGACGCGTCAGTGGACGTGGGCGAACGCTTCATATCATAACACTGTACAATATAATATCAGAGCGGTATTTTAAACAGAACAGCCTCTGAAAACCACCACAATTATATTCTCCCGAGTCTCAACGGCGTCCATTTCATTCGGATCGGGCTTGACCCGTTTGACGAATCCTACTACGGCGAAGGTCCACCCGCGCATCTTATGAATATTAATTAGCTCATGCCTCCGTTGCTGGAATCATAAATAAATTTGCCGTCGTTTTTCCAACAAATATCAAGTTTATTCAGAGGTGTAAAGAGTAGCTGAAAACCATAGTTTGAATCCTTCAAAAAGGCCTCTTCAGTATAACGCATAAATAAAACCATGTTAAAATACTCAGTAAAACTAGTCAAAAAGATACTCAAGTACAGTAATTAATTACATTTACTGAAATACTTTACACCTCTGGGTTTATTTGACAACAAAATTAGAAAACAAGCTAGAGAAGAGTAGAAATGCAAAGAAAAATAATAAATAAAAAAGTTTATTAATAATATATATATATATATATATATCATATTACTTGTTTCGCTTCTGTTTCAGTTTCTATAACCATTTCTTACTATGTGTCAGTAAGTTGTTGTTTTTTAGCATGTGTGTTTGGCAGGTGTTATTTTTTAGGATTACTGATAAACTACTGCCGTTTGATTTGTATTATTTGTTATTTATTTTAATTTTAGTTCAATTATGTCTGAATTTATTATGTCTGTATAGGTCTTTTATTAAGTTTTTAGTTTTATTTAATTTGAGTTA